AGGGGGGAGGTGATATGTAGCAGCAATACAGAGGAGAATCCTTTTCACAACAGCACTGTACTTTTAAACTGATGAACTTTGCACCCAGAGCCACCAGTTCTCCCCCCTTTACTCCCCCCTTTACTCCCCCCCCCTCTCTCTCTCTCTCTCTCTCTCTCTTCTTCCTCCTGCTGCATATGATATTGTTTTATTAAGACCTTACTGTTACTCCAGAACCTTCTTGGGGAGAGTGAGGGGCCGTGACCTTTGACTTTGGTGTACGACTGTGACAGGTAGCCATCACTGTTGTTTTTTTTTGTTTTAGTTTTTTTTTTTTTTTTCATTTTTTGCAGACGTAATGGACTGAATTTTCACAAGCGTCGATGAACCATCGTGCCGGTTTGATGCACATGAATTAAACTGTGAACTGTTTAAAAAAACAAATACAAACAACAACAACAACACACACTTTCACCTGCAGAGGGGGCAATTCTACAATTCAGTTTAAAATCCTTTTATTCAGTCCACACACAAACACAAACACACACACTTGTTGTTAGAGACTTTTGTACATGTGTGTATACTGCTGTGTATACTGATGTAAATGTTAGCATTCCACTACCACTGTGATGAGAGTGGAGAGGTAGAGGAGGAAAGATGAAGAACATGTACTAGCGCAGGTGCAGAACTGTTGTTTTTTTTCTTTTTTTTTTTCCATTCTTTTCCTGTGAACAGCCGATGCCAGAGTAACAGAGTTTTTTTTCTAAGCAGTCACTCACTCACTCACTACACAACGATTGCACTTTCTACATGTCTGTGTCCCATCGGCCCTCGTCACCACTCGCTCTTCAGAATATCAGGTAAAAATCCTTCGTCGTCTCATTTTCTAAAGATCCGTGTACAGTCGACAAAAATATATTTAAACATAGAAGAGTATATAAATCTATTTACGTTTTTGTGTCATAAATATATTGTAAAGTATATGATGTATTCTATGCCAAGGTTTTGCAGTGCCCCCCCCTCTGACCCTCACATACCCCCCCCCACTCTCCACCTACAACAGTCAACATCAATGACAGATGACAACTTTTTTTTTCTTTTTTTTTGCTTCATCTTCTATAAGTGACGTGTTGCATGAGCAGAGACCTGGGACGAATCTGATTGGACAGGGTAAACTAGTGAGGGACTGTTTTTTTTTTTTTTCAGTTTTATTTTTAATTTCAACATAAATAGACTTGTAGCGCATGGAACATGCACAAGTACTGTTAAAGGAGGAGCGAGTTTATTCCATCATGGGTGAAGTATTTTTTTTTTTTCGTGGAAAAGTATTCAAAGACACAAACTGTACAAATACTGAGGACGACTCTTTTATCTGATGATATAGAACCTTCTGGAGCGTCTGAGCAGAAAACACAGCTTCATGTTGTGGTTCTGTAAAAAAAAAACAGTTCATGATGCGTTCAGAGGGAGAAACTGGGAGAAAATGGAACTGTTTTAAATTTTAAAAGCAAACACGTTTCTAACAAAGAGTTGACACTGGGCCGTCCGGGAAATCTGCGTCCGTCAGTCCTGTGTAGTGGTTAAAAAGAAGAAAAGAAAAAAAATCAGGCCAAGGACTCAATGGTGCCCCCCAGTGTCCCAGACTCGTGTAGCACCTGCAGTATCCAGCAGTATCTGTACTACTTTAACTCCCTACATTTTACTGTAGGTCTTTGAATGTAAAATCTAGTTGTGTCATCATGTCTCGCTGTCCTTCAGTGTCACCCCCCCCTCCTTCTCCCTTCACCTCCCCCCTCTCTTGCCCCCCCTTTCGGAATCACGGCTCATTTTGTTTTGTTTCATTTACATGTAAGCCACAGAGAAACTCAATGATGCAAGCACTTTCCCTGTGCCTCCAAATCCTCTCTTTGGCAAGAACGGGCCGACGTTACAGACGATCACACACACACACACACACACACACTGAGCTGCACCTTCAGTCTGCACACCTCTGTCATACCTCCTCTTCATCGCTAGTGTCGCTCTTCTGTTTCCCACCACTGACGATATACTGTAGATTAACGAGTAACGTGAGTTCAGATTCGTAGGCACCGACTGTGTTATCCCTCCCAGACTTACGTGTGTGTGTAGACCTGCAGAAACAGGCCGAGAAAAAAACAAAAAACAAAAGAAGATGGGAGATTCCACTGTGTGTTCTTTCAGGGGTGTACACCTCATGGTACATTGCACAGGTGTGTAAGATGTAAGTTGCACTGCGACATTAAAACAGGAACATATTGCTCTTTTTCAAAGATAATACTAGCTTACTGTTATTCTGTACATTAAAACTGACTAAGATGATATAAAAAAGAGAAAGAAAATGACATTTATTCTTCCTAAAGTAGCTTTTTTTTGTTTCATATATATGAATATATATTACAAAAAATACAGATTGTAAACTTAAGTTGTTAAAATGACTTCAATAAACTGAATCCTCTGCACTATGAGCTCTGTTTTCTTCCATGTCCTGTAGTTATTCAAAACCGTGTTTTCTGGTGGTTACAGTTGTGACCACACGGGGGCAGAAATGGTCAGTGCACTTGTTCTACATTGTAAGATCAGATTGATTGATTCCTCATTCGGAATATTTCTGATTTCTTCTCACACGAAAGACAACAACTTAATTAACTAAGTTAATTTGTAGCGAACGATTAACCGAATCCTGGTGGAGGAAATTCTGTGCGATTTAAACGTATTTATAAATATGGAAATAAATATAAATATAAAAGTTATAATATAAATATGAAAGTTAAAATAAAGGTAAGTTAAAATAAAAACAGAAATATATATTCCAGTTTTATTTAATGCCGAAATATGCATAAAAAAATGAAAAACAATTCTGTCCAGATCGCTTTATACCAGTGCAGTAATCAACTTTGGTCACAAGGTGGTAGTAGCTACCCGTAGTTTTCATTGATAGACCGGAGAGCTGCTCACCAGAGACCAAAGAAGAAGCTGGAGCGCTGTCATGGCGGCCAAGGTGAATGTTTGACTTCATTTTACTGGCAAAATTCTAAATGATGCCGTTAAAATGATGATTGACAATATTGAAAACGGATCGTTTCGCTTTAGTTTTGTCAAATCACACATGATTGGACTTCCGTTCTCCGCTCCTCAGTGTCGTAAAACCACAGTGACGCTAAATGTAACACAGCGTTAGCCTCGCCTTCAACTTCAACTTCAGCAGAATGAAAGTCTGTAAATCTACAGTTTAACTACAGTTTTATTGTGTTCGTTGTTGTCATTGTTTTCTCGTGTTTTTCTATATCACTGTACGAATCTGTCGGACAACAACGCTGTGTTGTTGACGCCGCAGCCGCCATCAATGTTCAACATTATGTAATTCAAACTGTTTTTAATATTAACTTTCACGTATTTTTCATTCCAAACTACTGTTACACTTTACTGTAAGTAAAATGCACGTGAAGCATGACGTCATACTCTATTTAATCACAATAAAGTCAAAGTTGAGCAGCTACAGTAGCAGAGTAATCAAATAATAATTGCGACATATTTCCACATCATGAAGAGAATAATTAATAATAAGTAATAATTTTGTTAACCTCGAATAATTAGATTCGAGGTTAAAACATTAGAAACATTTATTAAAGATAGACTCATCTTAATGTCAATAATCCCGACCAGAATTTCATCATCTGGACTGAACTAAACTAAAGTTGTAGCAAAGGTTTATTTTTGTGATTAGATTCTTGGATCAGCAGCTCATGATGATCAGTCATTTAAAGTCAGCTCACCAGCTGAAGTAGACGTGAACACATAAACACATAACTGCCTATGCTGTCACTTGTAGACGTAAACACATAACTGCCTATGCTGTCACTGTGCTGCAGGTGGCGATGGTGGCCGTCCCCACGGTGCTGGGAATCGCCTCCATCCGTGTGTACACAGAGAGTCCGGGTCCCGTGGATGGACTGGTCACTCGTGAAAAGGTAAGACTGACCCAGAACCATCAGCAGACCTGGTGTGTTTGGACTCACTGAACTGATGTCTCTAACCCCCCCCGACCCCTGACCCTCAGCTGAACGTCTACACCCCACACCCACACGGTGCTCCGGTTCACTCTGTTCCTGACAGGCCAGGTGTCATAGAGGGCGGGGTAACTACAGCCAGAGAGAGCTTGTTGCCCGCCGCCCGGGCTGTCAAGGTATGTTTTTAAATGTGGGGTTTTTTAAACAGTTTAGAATCTGGTAAAAACAATGATCTGATATACTGTGATACTGTAGTCACGACGATGTATTGAGAGGTTTTTACCCCCCAGTGTAGCTGTAGTCCCAGTGTGATCCTGGTCTCAGACTCTGTTCCATCTGAACATCAGTTCCTAACACTGGAACAGAGGGATCTACATTTGGAATCACTAGAGAAGAAAGAAAAGAAAAAGAAAATCAACCAACACCAGAAATATTGGACTGGGAGTTGGTGAAAAAAAAAATCAATAACTGATGGAGGAGGAGATTGATACGGGATCAGGAGAAGGAGATATGTGATATTTCAGTGAATTGATATTTTCTCACTAAAAACATCATCATTGACACCTTCACATCCTGTCAAACACATTTTAGAAAAACTGTCCAAACAGCTTTTTCACAGTTTTAAAACAAAGGTTTTGTGAGTGTAGCCCAGAGTGAGGGACTGAAGGGGGGGATGAGTTCAAGTACCGGGGCTCGAACATCCAGAGAAGGTGAAGACAAGGCTGCAGGCAGAGAGCAGCGGCTGTGGTTGGAGATCAGCTACTGTACGTTCAAGGTGTGAAACAGACTAGAAGTCAAACAGGAAGTTGCAGCTGTTAAAACGTTAGCGAGGTTTTGACACTTTTAAAACGCGACTTGGTTCAGTCTTGAACCCATGTTGTTGTTGATGATGATCCGACGTGACGTGACGCTCTCTGCAGGAGGCCTTCGTCTCGGTGAGAAATGGAGGCGTCGACCTGTACCACACAGGAGAGGGTGAGTTCATACAGACACCCAGACCACAGACACCGGTCGCTGTTACACAACAGCACCAGAACTGACACCTGGTCCTGTTTCTCACACACTCTGTGTTCTAGATGTTTATTATTACCTGAAGGATCCTCCTCCGGGGTTCCTGCCCAGGTTTGGAACCATCACCATGGCCGGACTGTTAGGCATGTTCTTGGCCCGGAAAGGTACAGCACCTGGATGAATACTGTAGTACATGACAACACCGCGGGTCAAACACAGGATGTGAACATGTTGCAGTACACAGATGAGTACACAGATGAGTACACAGATGAGTACACAGATGAGTACACACGAGTTTCCTCACCAAATATACAGTTGAAAATTTTATACTAATTTAAAAATAAAATTACAATAATTATTAGATTTTTTTTTTTCTGGACAATTCTGGCGACCCCATTTGGATTACAGACGACCCGATGGGGGTTTGCCACCCAAAGGTTGAAAAACTCCATAGATAAACATTTTAAATTGAAAAAACTTAAATGAATTTATATTTTTATTATGATATCAGTTTAATGTTCTGTATTTTCCAGACTTTAAGTCACTTTTTTTTCACAAGGATTCAATCAGTTCCAGTGCTGGTACTGTTAGTTTCCTTCTGCTGCTCCAAATTAAAAATTTCACAAGGATTCAATCAGTTCCAGTTCCGGTACTGTTAGTTTCCTTCTGCTGCTCCGTTGCTATTTTTAGTTTTAGTTTTTCTTCTTCACTTGCATTTTGTTTGTTTGTATGGAAATCTGGTTCAGTTGTGTTTTCGTTTTTGCCCTCTTGTGGTCATAGATGATATCACGTGTTATGTTTTTACATAAAAGTCGCTTTGGGAATATAAAGTTCCAGGACCAGACAAAGTGGAACTGATAGTCCACACAGTACAGTTTACCATATAAACAGCTCCAGGTGTAAATTTGTTCTACGTCGTGTTATATTGACAACAGTAAATACTTCATAATTACTTCATAATTACCACCAGTTTGCAGTTTTCATCAGGGAACTTTTTACATGAAACTTTTTAATACCACCAGAAATAAAAACCCGGGGTTAATGTGAGTGCAGCGGAACTCTTTTTTTAGTCCTCTCCTCTCTGTTCCTCTTCTCTCTGTGGAACTTCGTTTCAGGCTCTCGCTTCAAGAGGTTAGCGGTTCCTCTGGGCCTGATGAGCGCGGGAGCTTCAGTTTGTTACCCGGCTCAGGCTGTGGCTGTGATTAAGGTGACGACTTCTCCACATCCACGCACGACAGTCAGAGTTCTGTTTTTTTTTTTTTTGATCTCCCAGCTAATGCTGTAATTGTGTTTCTGCTCCCAAGATGACGAGTAGAAAGGTGTACGCCGCCGGGCAGTGGAGCAGCGCCGCGGTGTCTTCACTGCTCTCCTCACCGCCTCAGGAGGGCGCCGCCGCAGCCACAGAGACGACGAAGACGACGACGGCGACGTCACAACCACTGGATCACAGACACGTTAGTTTCACTCTATTGATTTATATATTTTGGTTTAGTGTGGATCAGTTTTGTTGTTTTGTTTTTATAAATAAACAGAACAACAACATGGATCCTCTGGAGGTTACGTTGAGCCACCGGGGTTTTACAAAAGCGGGATTTAGTGACGCAGAATTATTTTAAAGAAACCAAACCAAAATTCCCTGGTGGCAGAAAAGTATGAAAAATGCTGCGGAACTAAAGAACCGACACAGACGGTTCCAAAGAGAACAGAAGAGGAGGAGAACTATTTGTGTGCCCTTTTAAATGACAACCATCTGTCGCAAATATTTACCAACCAAAGTCGGAGAGTGTGTGGGACAGATGGAGGATTTAGAGAGATTTAATTTGTCAGTTTAAAAAAAAAAAAAAATCTCAGTGCTCTGTTAATAATTCACTGACTGTTACACCACAGGTCAGGAGTTCCACTGAGATATAAAAAAAACCAAAAAAAACAACAGACAATGGTTTGTTTGTTTAGCCACAGAATATATGTTTACCAGAATAATCAAGTCAGGTCACCTACTATATATATATATATATATATGTATGTATATGTATATACAGTATATATATGTATATGTACAGTATGTATGTATACGTATATATATATATATATATATATATATATATATATATATACATGTATGTATATATATGTATATATATGTATGTATGTATATATGTATGTATGTATGCATATATGTATATATTTATCTGATAGTTGTTTGTTGTTTTTTTTACACATAACCACATACTATAAATATACATATGTATGTATGTATGTATGTGTGTATCATAGGGTTTTACTTTAAAGATATGTTAGAAAATGGCGTGGACTTGTTGGAGGACAAATATCTTGACATCTGTGGCACCAAGTTCTTCAGTTGTTCTTCTGCTCACGCTCCCATTTTTCCATTCCTCTCAGTCGGTCGTATTTAATTTCATCTTCGATCGTGTGTTGTGACTGATGTTGAGGTCCTGCTCCACATGAGGTCACTGTTCCTGAAACCTTCTCTCTGTTATTGTGTGTTGTCAGTCAGCCGAGCGCTCCGACCCAGAGGGGGCAGCAGACACCTCAGTCCAAACAGAGGGGGAGGAGGAGGAGGAGGAGGCAGCGTCTCCCCCCGCGGGTGGCGAACTCACCGCCGCTGGCACCCACGCCAGATTTTTTTTTTTTTTTTTTTTTTTATCTCCCAGCTAATGCTGTAATTGTGTTTCTGCTCCCAAGATGACGAGTAGAAAGGTGTACGCCGCCGGGCAGTGGAGCAGCGCCGCGGTGTCTTCACTGCTCTCCTCACCGCCTCAGGAGGGCGCCGCCGCAGCCACAGAGACGACGAAGACGACGACGGCGACGTCACAACCACTGGATCACAGACACGTTAGTTTCACTCTATTTATTTATATATTTTGGTTTAGTGTGGATCAGTTTTGTTGTTTTGTTTTTATAAATAAACAGAACAACAACATGGATCCTCTGGAGGTTACGTTGAGCCACCGGGGTTTTACAAAAGCGGGATTTAGTGACGCAGAATTATTTTAAAGAAACCAAACCAAAATTCCCTGGTGGCAGAAAAGTATGAAAAATGCTGCGGAACTAAAGAACCGACACAGACGGTTCCAAAGAGAACAGAAGAGGAGGAGAACTATTTGTGTGCCCTTTTAAATGACAACCATCTGTCGCAAATATTTACCAACCAAAGTCGGAGAGTGTGTGGGACAGATGGAGGATTTAGAGAGATTTAATTTGTCAGTTTAAAAAAAAAAAAAAATCTCAGTGCTCTGTTAATAATTCACTGACTGTTACACCACAGGTCAGGAGTTCCACTGAGATATAAAAAAAAAACAACAGACAATGGTTTGTTTGTTTAGCCACAGAATATATGTTTACCAGAATAATCAAGTCAGGTCACCTACTATATATATATATATATATATGTATGTATATGTATATACAGTATATATATGTATATGTACAGTATGAAGATATACAGTATGTATATATATATATGTATGTATGTATGTATATATGTATGTATATATGTATGTATATATACAGTATGTATATATGTATATATTTATCTGATAGTTTTTTGTTGTTTTTTTTACACATAACCATATACCATAAATATACATATGTATGTATGTATATCATAGGGTTTTACTTTAAAGATATATTAGAAAATGGCGTTGACTTGTTTAGGACAAATATCTTGACATCTGTGGCACCAAGTTCTTCAGTTCTTCTTCTGCTCACGCTCCCATTTTTCCGTTCCTCTCAGTCGGTCGTATTTAATTTCATCTTCGATCGTGTGTTGTGACTGATGTTGACGTCCTGCTCCACATGAGGTCACTGTTCCTGAAACCTTCTCTCTGTTATTGTGTGTTGTCAGTCAGCCGAGCGCTCCGACCCAGAGGGGGCAGCAGACACCTCAGTCCAAACAGAGGGGGAGGAGGAGGAGGAGGAGGAGGCAGCGTCTCCCCCCGCGAGTGTCGAACTCACCGCTGCCACCACAGAGGAGACGTCGTGCCTGACGAGTCCTGAACCGGCCCCCACGGAGTCCAGCAGGGGTATTTGTTGACATTGATCTGTTGGTTCCTCCGTCTCCGTCACATGACCCGGTCACGTGACACCGTTGATGTTTTTGTCTCAGTGGAAACAGAAGCCGCTCCTCCCTCAGAGCCGTCGTCTGTTCCCGCCGAAGACCACGTCAAAAACCAAACCCCAGAGGAAGTCTCAGGTGAAGGCCGTCCAGCCGAGGCCACGGACACTTCAGGACCACAGACAGCAGAGGTCGCCCAAGTACAGACTCCTGGAGACCAGTCTTCTCCTGAACCAGTAGACCAACCAGCAGGTACCAGAACCCACTCAGGTTTTTGACTGATTTCAGCTGCAGCTCAGCTCCTCTGGACGAAGAGAAAAAACAAATCTGTTTTTTCTCTTTTTCTGTTAATGTCAGTGGATTTTTTTTTTCATTTTTTCCACCTCTGAGTTAGCGACGATTCAGACTCGTGCGACTTAAAACCACATCTGAAGGGCGGCCTAGGTCAGATTTGGGTCACATTTGTGATGTGGTCTGACGTTACTAGATCAGTGGTCCATAGAAAAGACCGAGATCCACATGTTTGATTACTCTGTGAATACTTCACTGTGTGAATAAATCCACTCCATCTTCGTCTCATCTTCGTCTCATCTTCGTCTCATCTTCGTCTCCTCAGAACCCGTGGATGAACTTCCTCCGTTTGAACACACTGTCCAACCTGACCCAGCTGAACAGCTTCCTGTTGTGGACGAGGCGTCACCTTTGACCTCACCCGTCTCACCCGCTCCAGAGCTGCCTCCCGCAAAAAGCGAAGGTGATGTGAAAAAAAAGACAACGCTGCTGCAGTGGAAACTCTGTATTTGTTTTTCTGAGAATTGAGAAATTCTGGGGTTTTTTTTTTGTTTTGTTTTTTTTGTAGTTTTACATTCATCCACTGGGTGTTGCCATTGTAAAGACTTAACGTTCTCACAGGATGTTGTGATCTCAACCACGTGGTTTCAAAAATGCTGTTTTTTTTAAAAAAAAATTGTACAATTTCATTTTGTTTTTCTGTGGGTCGCCACAGTACACAAACATTTATTTACTCTTCTCTATTTCTCTTCTTGTCCTGCAGGGGGCGCTCGCTTTAAGCCAGACCCTTCCCTGTTGGATTTTGGCCAATCCAGCTCTGAAGACGAGGACCTGTAC